GAGTGTTGCCCACCAAATCCATGCGGTGTAACCATAAAAGACCCATCTAAGACGAGGAAAGACTTGCGCTAAAAACAAAGCTTCGATGGTAGCCGATCCAGCGTGTAGGGATGGCATGGCACCAAAGACCATAGGAGACGCAGTGAATGATGATGAGTACATATCAAGTCCGAAGAGCTTGTCAATGCGAGCAAGTCCCGCGGGAGAGCCAGGCATGGAATAGTTCGCCGGGGAGAACCCGTGCAGATTTTGGTACCCTGGTAATAAAGATCAGCAGTGTTTCAATAGTACTAGAAAAAAAAAAAAAAACTTACATGGCGGTGCGCATGGAAAAAACAATTGGATTGAAACACCAATAATGTTCATGTATCCAAAGCTACTAGAGAAAACATTCACTGTTCCTGGTGCGCCCCAGACGAAAAGCGCTGCCGCTGTAAGAAAGGGGCCAGCGAAATGGATGATCCCATACGGCAACCACGCCAAAACATCAAGGACTGCATTCTGATGTGCCGATAAGATGTTGCTAAGATTTGCACCATATATGATGTTTTCCAGTGCGGGAAGAACGCGGACCCAGATATGTGGACGAATCTCGGCTGGGACAAATCTGTTGAGAGTTAGATGTTGGCACGTGACCCGTTGGGGGAAAACAAATTAATTGCTTACCTGCACGAGAAAAACAATACCAACCAACTTACTACTGGAAGAAACGGCAACCAAAACTGCCTTGTAATAGGCATGAGCATAGCAAGCATCAAAAGACTTGCTACTCCAGTCTTGATGAGCGGGCCCGGGAATTCCATGATGGACAAACAGAAAATGCCCAAAATAATGATGAATACATATTGACCATCATAAATTGACCATTTATGCGCCCTTAGCGACTTGAGGGTATCCCTTGGATCAAATGAGGTTTCCAGAGCTGCTAAAGAAGATCCAGGCGCCTGGCCACTTCTCATGCGAGATCCAATTTTCCTCTTCATCCTCTTGAGACCCGGTATCGACGGCCATCCAACCAAAGTTTGTTTGGTGAATGTTTTAGAGTGAGTATCCAACATTGCAGGAAAAAGTTTTGAGGTTGGAGACTTCATCGCGTCGAATGGAGAGTCCTGGGATGGTTGCTAGGGAGAGTGTTTGTTGATGGATGGTTGTTGCTAGACCAGAATGCTAGCTCGGGGGTTGACGTGAGATGGGAGGAGTGAGAAAGGGTGAAGGAGAAGAGAATAATGAAGATATATGAATGCAACTGCTGACTGGCCCGGAACACCGTCGGCGCGTGGAACTCACGCTTTTGTCTGCCACGGAACGGATTTACTGGAGGCTGGGCGACAAAGGTCAGAATAAGGTACGAGGTGGTACAACCTGCGCCACGAGTTACCGCTTACGCATAAATAACGGCCAGCCCTGGTTAGTGCTGGTAAATGTCCAATCTCCCGCCGCCCCCTTAAGGTAACGCCCACTGCGCCTCGGCAACTTGTTGGCGGTAAACCACTCGCTTCATAAATTACAACCTTGTTGAAACCGGGTCCTGGGCATTCCGAGCAAGACTTTTCATCTTTGATGAGGAAAATGGTCCGTCTTCCGGAATCCGAAGACCGAATACGGATCGATCTCACGATTATTTTTCCCGGACGCCTTTTCACGAGACCCTAGGCCGATAGAGTATGTAGTTGAGGCATTTGCTAGCAATATTGAAGTTCCGGCACCGGGTGTTTTTCAATTTCATCAAAGGAAATTCATCAAAGGAAATTCATCAAAGGAAATTCATCAAACATGATTCAGTTACCAACGCGAAATGAATTAGGAAGAACGCACGAGTGATGAACGATGAAGTGGTTGGGTTCTAACGTTGCAACGCTTTGCTCAGCCTTATGACATTACGCGACAACTCTATTCTATTCGTGCGACACACAAGCCTCCTTTTGACGTAAGTATTGAACTGACAACAGATATCTAGCGGACAATGACGCGTTTCCAAGTGCATAGCACACACATCCTCACTTCGCCTCTTATCGTGTCGTATCAGATAAACAATGTTGGGGCGGAGGTTTTTCAACATATATTGTAGCATCGAGAAATTTCAGATCGATTTTTGTAGTAGTAGGTACATACATGTAGTGGGACATTTTTAAGTAGTGTCTACTCACATGGTTCATGTTACGGCTTTGTTTGGCCCGGAAACGGTTGATCATATGTTGAGACAAGGGTCCAAATAGGTGCCGCGCGGTTCCACCACTCCAATCTTTGTTCAACTTATGCTTATCACGAAGAAGACATCGCCCAATCTTGGCTCCCGATATTTTCATTTAGGTTATCTGCCACAGGACGGGAACGTGATCTTCAGCAGTTGGATAAGTAACTTTGCGGAGTACCAGGGTGCGGGATAGATAGGCAGTCTCCTATATTCGCATGGGTACTACAAGGAGCTCAAAGTTTCAAACCCACGTACACCCTCAAACAAAAATAGAAACACGTATACACGCATTATGGTCGAATTTTGGTCACGGTTTTCCTTTTACTGGTATCAAGTCATCAATAACTAACGTGTAGAAAGAAAGGTCTTTTGAATGATGCGCCAAGTATATGCGATGTAGGTCTGATGATTATAATGACGGTGGGGGGTTTAATGATACTACCGAGTGTTTGCTCTCGTGAATCCTTACGTGTAGTTTGCCTAAAAGTACATGTAGGTACATGTAGGCTGCTTAAGCAGGGATCGATACACAGCCGCCTGCGTATTGTACCTAAATGTAAGTACCAAGCCTAACGGTCATACAAGACATCTTCGAGCAGTTTAGACGACTTGCGTCACCCTCTTTAAAGTACTCGCATCTACTCGTATTTTCCTGACGTTTGTGGACGCGACTGATATTGCATGCCATACAAAAATAAGCCAAGTTCATGATCTTGGGTGTATGCAATAATGGCCCAGTTCAAAAACGTCAGGAAGATACTACATGTAGTACTCGGGGCAGGTAAGAACCTGAAAATGACTTTTGATGGTAACGACCTCTGATTCGCGGCTGGCGAAAAGCTACATCAAATTGAGCCCTGCTTGCAGCTTGCATTTTCAGGTTCTTATTGCCTGCCCCGAGTATATATACCTGACGTTTTTGAGATGGACTGCTATTGCATCCTACAGTCAGTAGTATTACATGTAGTTCTCAGACCCGAGTAATTAGTGTTAGACCCTCTCAGCTCACTCCAATACAGGGGCGAGCCCCGTAACCCCCTTTTCCTACCGATATTACGAATATTGAATAGGTACATGTAGCTATAGTCACACGCGACCGAAAGTATTTATCAGTATAAAGGGTTAGGGTCAGGTATGGGTGGCCAATCATGAAGGCTCACTGGCTATGACAAGTGACACATGTACTCTTGGCGCGAGTGACAAACCGTGAAAGACCATGGCCTTCATCCGTTTTGGGCAAAAGGCCGTTCGGCCTTATACCCGCGTCATACTCAAATACTCACGCAATATTGTGTCTCGATCAGGACGGCTGGGCTTTCTCGTTGGTAAGGGGATCGTAAGGGGCTCCGCCCTAGTTCTATTACCAAAACGCGCCAAGTACACAATTTCCTATGGTATTAATAACAATCCAGAAATAGAGTACATGTACATGTATGCATGGCATGAGAGATTGCATTGTGAAAAAAATAAAAATCGTTACAAGGCAGAATAATCGTACTGCGTCAATGATATTACGTCATCACCTCAGCTATCACTCGGAGGGCGGCGCTAACCTAGTTGGGACATTAGCTATCATAGTCCTAGGTACATATCCCGCTGGGAATATTCTTAGCAAGAGCCACTTCTAAGATGAGAAGGGAGTTTCATATGCACGTAGATATGGCTTCTTGTGGGGTGCATAGTCGATCCTAGAAGTACATGTGTGTTTGCTCGTGTCTCGCGGTACTGTCACCATCATCTTTAGTACCTAACCCCTACTTTACAAGGTGCACTGTTCACAGGGCTTTACCCAGCTTATTGATAACTCGCCGGCCTATACTCGAGCTCCCAAAGCCCACCCTCAACCCAAACCCAATGGTAATGGGACGGCTAGGCGCTAAAGACCGAGAAACAGATTTTTTGGTCTGTTTTCTCCTTCCCATTAATTCCTATGTTCTAGTGGGCCAGGGTTAAATAACTATTTAATGTGCTCTATAAACCCACCCGGATTATACGGTGAACTTAGAGTCCACACAGAGTAATCCGTAAGTCCGAAGATGTTTAACCTCCGCTTTACAATAGAAGTACAACCTGAGTTATGACCATCAGGATCACGTAGTATTCGTCGCCGGATACACATGACTCATGAGGCGTGTGTAGTTGTGGCGGTTTGTACTAGTCTCAATCTCCTGCCTAGACTAGGGTGTTAATTCTGAGCACGAGGGCAGTTTTACACCTACTTGATTCCAGATCGTTCACTATGATTGCTGGGACGGGGAAGCTGCACGAGCCATGCGGCATGAATGTATACACTGCGGTGGCGAATTTAAGCTGCTGGTGCTGCCACGTGCTAATTTTCACAAGCCTCCGGAGGGGATAGATAGAGCGAGGAAACAGATTCTCTTAGCGCTAAGAGTAGTAACGGTTCCACTTTCTCTCCTTCTCTCCTTTACACTACAAGTGGCAGGGGGGCCCGAAAGCTGTATGGTTAATATGACTACATGTATGTACATGTATGGTTGAGATATGTTAGTAGGTTTCAAGTACCCGTTAATAGATATAAATTGTAAGAATTATTCTTTCGAATTAGATTTCCCAGATGTGAAAAAGGGGGGGGGGGGGGGGGGGAGAGCCATGAATTATCTAATCGCACACGTTTATTTAAAAAGATCCCTATCCTTTACAAGAAAATAACTAACAAGGTGGCTATGCACCACGTAATATACCCCCATAACTCGCCAGCGTGAAGAAAAGAAAGTGACAGACAAAAGGTAGGGTAAATACAGAAAACCGCGCCGTCCCACGTTTCGGTACATAAATACAGAACTTACCAGAAAGAACACCATCCTAACAAGAAACAGAGGTTAGCGAAGAATGTATATTAAACCGAACAAGAGAAAACATACCAATATAGTGCTGGCATAAGTTCTCTAAATTGGTTGCTTGATCGATCAACCTGGCAACCTGTTTGGGAATCTCTAGCTCCTCTCCCACCTTGAAATCCGTACCTAAAGGGCGTTAAGACCGTTGTAATTTAAAAAGAGAAAAAGGAATAACATACCCGTGAGTTTTGCCTTGACACGCTCTAAAACCTGGAGCGCTCGTTCATTCTGCTGTTCCGGTTTTCTTTGTTCTGTCCAATGATTAGGAATTTACGCGGGTCTGAGATTAGATAGTTGAACTTACCATGATCTTCACCATCCACAGAGAGACTTCTAAGCCTCATAATCTCTGCTGGATCTAACACCGTCATAACACTTCGTCTCCGCTCACCAGGCGCAGTCGGCCCTATCTCTGCTGGGCTCTCCTTTGTTCCCAATCTCCAGTGCATCAAAGGGTCATGCATAAAAGCCTCTAGTACAGCCATAAGTGATTCCTTATTCTCCCGCAATACCTTCATAACTGCCTCACAGGTAGTCCTGAAACTACCCTCGATGTTACTGACTTCCATGGCATAGGTCAACATGCGTGTCAATCTAAATGGCACTTTCTCAGGGTACTTTTCTCGGTGCATCGCGACCTCGAAACAGTCACCAAAATCAATATGAATGACTTTTCCAGTGATTCTGTCAAGCATCAAATTGGAAGGATGTCTATCGCCGAGCCCAAGAATGTATCCAACCATTGACATGACACCCAAAGATCTGGTGTAGTTGGTACGGCGGTCGAGCCACGCCTCAGAGCTTTTGCTTTTGAGCCATAACACACGGTATAGGTCTTGACCGGTGGTATTGTCTAAAGCATATCCGAAGACTTCAACCTTTTGCATAAGCGTTAGGTTGTCGTAATCAGGTGCCATTTGTAGCATAATTCTGTGCTCGATGTTTAAAAGAATCTTCCTGCTCTCTCTGTATTCTCTAATCAACACGTGAAGAGTATCACTGTTGGGTACCCATCCCAGCAGACCCGAGTTCTGAGAAAGCGGGATAGCTGGGTACTGTTGGATATTTAGATGACGCTTGAAGCACTCCGAGTCCACCGAGAGTAATGTATTTACTAATCCGAAAAGTTGCATCACACGTTCATCCTGTCGAATATCTTCATGTCCCTTCAAGACGTATTGATAGGAGTTTCCGTCGCTTCCCTTGATGGTTAATTTACGCGGCCTCTGCTTGGAAGAAATGACACTCAAAGTGGGTTCAAAGCCCATAATCCTGACAATGGCTTTACCAGTTGCGTACGTTCCTGTTGAGCATTAGCGTCATGGCTCATTTAGGGAAAGGTATTATAATTACCAGGGACTGCCAAGTCAAGATTCTCAGCTACTAGAAGTTTTGGAGATACATATTGTAGATCCAAGGAGTTGAGTTGAGGCAATTGTTTTGTTATTTTACGGAAAACCTAGATTAGGTGAGGTATCAGCAATCAATAAACCACATTGATCTACTAAATCAACGTGACAAGTGAACGTACCTGGTAATAAAGGTCCCACGCTTGGTTGAGATCTCCGACTTCATTAGTCCTCTTATATGCAACGCAGCATTCTTTTGCCTCATGCAAGTCTCTACCGAAGGCTTGATGGAACGAGATTTCCCTTAGGGTTTCCGGTCCCTAAACATCTGATTAGAAAATATTCCAGGATATACAGCGAGTAACCCACTTTTTCTAGCATAGTGTGTAGCGGCTCAAGAGTCTTGAACATCATTTCAATATTATGATCTCCGAAATACAGCCTTGAAGCCTCTTCTAGACCTTCATGCCAAAGCTCATGCCATAAGACTGCAACCCGAATCAATTCATTGCTAACAATCTCTGCTTGATCGACCAACTTTTGACTATGAGCTTTCATACTGTCCATTATTTGGGCGGCTGACTTTTGACGCCTAGACAAAGAGGATTTTGATGCGACAGTCAACGGATATACTAAAGCCTGGGGGTGTGCTCTTCCGACTTCCGCAATAAGCTGATGGATCGAGTGCCTTACTACTGCGTCCGGCTGGTTAATTCTAGCAATGAGTTGTGGAATGACCTCCAACCAAGTATCGATGCTGACAGAGTTGAATCCTTCTGTAACAGCCACGTTTACTTCTGGGTGCCCACCGTGTGCAAACCACAATGTCAATAGCCGAAGAGTATCTTGAAGGGAGCTTCCAGCGGAAAGTGAGATCGACCGGAAGAAACCGTTCACAGCAGGTATGACATGATCTCTGACCATTTCTTGATTCAAGTGTGTATTTTCTCTACCCTCTGCCGCAGTGGCTGCAGTGACAACTTCAAAATTGGCCAGGGCCCAGGCGTGCCAAGCTTTGTACCAATCCTTGTGGAACTGGGTTGCTTTGTGATATGAGTCCAAAATCTTGTAAGCGGTGTGTGGTTCTGCGTGCCATGTCTTGTACAGTGCAATCTGCCATTCGCCCTGTTTTAAATAGCACCTTGCAAGAAGACGAGTATGCTCATCTTCAATTCCAGGGATTAAGGCTTGTTGTGGGGGAATGCCGTGATGAGCCATACTATTAGCGAGATTCATCCTCAAGTCTCTTGAAAGCGAATCAGTGAACTCAAAGAGATGTACGATTGCTTCTTGTTGTTGTCCGGTAGCCCACATAAACTTCAAGCGCGCATATGTCACCTGAGGTGGTACTGATGTGCCTGAAATATTCCCGATGCTTTCGTTCTGTGGAAGTAAAGAATTCAGCGATTTCTCCGCGAGGCCTATTCTTCCAGACTTTCTGCAAAGATTTGAGAATTTAATCCACATGTCCATGTTCTCTTTTGGCGAAATTACAAGTGCACGGACTTTCAGCATTCGTTGCCAAACTTCGACATTTCTCTGGCAGCCCTTGAGGCGCTTTGTCCAGGTTCGTCGCATAGTCTCCTGCTTCTCTGGCTGGTCATTATTCTGTTTATATGTGATGATCTCCTCCAGTTCTGCCAACATTTGGACCCGAACAATCACACTATAAGCTCGATTGTAACTCTCGCCAACCAACGCACTGAGTTCTGTATCAAGGCCTTCCCTAGCTTTCTCAATATGCTTCGCCGCGTCTTCGAACTGGTTTCTGTGAAGTGATAGAATTGCACCAAAGAAGCTCCTGTCGGGCGAATGTTCTTTCATGACCATGATATACTCATCCATCAGTTCCCACTGACCCAATCCCCAAGCAGCAGCTGCTGCAAGTGGCGCGATAAGTCGTTGTATCTCGCGACCAGCATGCCTCCATTTGTCCTGTGCAAGTTGTGATAAATGATCCCACTCTCCCAATGCATGTAAACATCTCATCTTTCCCATAGTAATATCAAATGAATTGGGATCAGTCAGCTCCTTCTCTTGATAAGCCTTCAGAGCCTCTTCCCATCTCTGTAGCTTCTCAAACCACGATTCTCGAAGGGGGACGTCGTTGTAGACCTGGGCTCTTCGAAGAATACCAATGGCAGCGTCAGATTGTTGCAGTTGATTATTAATACTGATAAGTGCCTCAATGACACTCGGCTGTGGTTCTTGAAGGAATTCCAGTTCCTTGTAATGCAGCGCCTTAGCATAAGCATGGCATTTTGCAGCATACATTCCCAACGTTCGAATGTCGATTGGAAGCGCTTTATCATCGTGCTCCATGAATTCGGCAAGATTCAAAAGAATCTGCAAGATTTCAGGCGGAATGTGTGGCGAAATTAAGGCTGTCTCGATGGAGCGAACCAATTCTTCCTGTAAAAGGGTAATGGGGTCAGAATGACTTCACTTTAAATAATATCGTGGGTATTTACCTGGAACTGATCATACAACTCTGTCCAGCAGGATACGAACGCGGCATTGAACAAATCCCGAGCCAATGGATAGTATGCTCCCGCCAGTCCTGCACAGGCCCTCAAGGCATGAGAGGGTGACTGCTTCAGAAGTTCAACGCTGAATCGGCGGATCCATTCCTGCCAATCCTCGCGAGTTGATCGTTGAGAAGCCTCCCATGCATTCTTGAGATGTTGCTGATTTACTGGCAATTTCTTCGGTCCGAAATCCGCAAAAGAAACTTCGTCTGCTTTCTCGCTAGGGTCATTGTTAGCCATATGAATCAACATATACCAGGGAAACGTACACATCATCGGGGCTTAGATTTTGAGGCAAAGGTTCGCCCTTCAGTACCTTCCCAACAAGTAAGTCATAATTTCCGTGAGAAATCTTGTTCGCTTGTAAAATCTACACAAAGTCAGCACAAAATAAACCATGGAGCGTATATTGTACTACATACTTTGTTAATCATGGGGATGAAATGAGCATAATCATGACCTAGCTGGAACACAAGAGCACAAAGCGTATCCAATGCCGTAACTCTCAGATCGTTGCTCCCAGACATCAATACCCTGGACAGCGGGTGCACAATCCTCGACGCATGGTCAGAAATGTTGACCTTCCTTGACAGTCTTGCCACTGTTTCCATTGCAACTTTTCTTGTCTGTGGCTTCTGGCTGGGCTTCTCAAACATTCGAACGATAACCGGAAGGATAAGGTGCATATATTCCTCACTACTAGAGCCGAATACAACAAATGCGTGGAGAACCTTTTCCTGTGGCCCAGGGCGATTGGGATCGGCCATTTCAAGAACCTTTAGCATTAGCGGAAGTAGTTGTGCGAGATAAACTTTAAATTCTCCTTCTAGAGAATGCGCGATGGCCTCAACTAGTTGAAGAATTGTGGTCTGCAGAGTCGGAGTGGAATCCCAATAGTCTCTGATGAGCTGTAGAATATCCGGCAGAAAATTCCTGATATGCTGCTTCACAATCGAAACCAAGATACTCAGCTGGTTGAAGTATGAATCCAACTTGCTAGCAGGACAAGCCCGAGTAACAGACAGAAACCCGGGAATAATCTGACCCAAAAACGGAACACACTTCAGCCCAAGAGTCTTGAAAATGTTCATGATAGCATCAATGACGGAAGAGTGGTGTTGACCGAGGGAAGGGTCTTTTAGCATGTTCATGAGAGAATTGATAACCACAGTAGGATAATAATCTTCATTCGAGGGGGTCAGTCCAGTCATAATCAAAGACACGTCTGTGACGGCATGAACTTGATCGGTTGAGATAAGCTCAGAGGTCCGCTCCACAGTTTGATGTCTGTAAGGATCCAAGGCCCCCAGAATACCCATCAATTTGATCGTTTCCTTTCGCAGTGTAGTGTTTTGCTCGGTTTTGACGATACCTACCAATATAGTGAGGAGCTGGGGGTACTGAACATAGGGATCGATTACGTATCCCGAGTTGCTAGCCAATTGGCCAAGAGTTCTCAAGGCGGCATCTCTTTTTGCTGGCGAGCTTTGATCTTGTAAGGTCTCAATGATAAGCGGCATTAGCTGCGGGATATATGGAATCATATCCTCTCCACCAACAGTTGCAAGCTCTCCTAGGGCTGTCAAAATGCTTGAGGCCACCCCTGCGCTAGGATCACGGGCCCGAGGGAGAAGTACCCTAACTATTGGCTCGACGTATGGTCTGATGAGCTTTTGCGATGCAGCGACCAAGTGGCTGAGAAGCCTTGCACTCTCTTCTTTATTCCGGGGAACATTGGAGTATTCCAATTCTGTGAGTAGTTGGATAAGGGTTTTTCTAAGGGAAGGAATAACATATGCAGGATTATGAAGGGTAAGCCGTCCAATGATAGTTATCGCGGCCTCTCGAATAGCAAAGATTTCATCGTTTAAGGCCAAGAACAGAGATCGAACGTTCTCTGCCTTTGCAAGATGCCTATCAAAACGAGCATCGAGCGAGAGCAGAACCGTTTTACGGATATCGGGGTCTATTTCAAACATATTAATAATATTCTTCATGACCTTTCACAGTTTGACAAACCTGAGTCGGCAATAGCCACAGTTAAGAGTTTTTCCATTACTTCACCAACCACTTGGATTGCATGATTACTTGTTTGATAGCAGATTGGGTCTCGCACAAATAGTTGACAGCAAGTTAGTGCGGCTGCTTTTCGAACCTCAATGTTGTCGTCTTCCACGTATTTCATGGCAATATCACGAACAAATTCATTTAAAATGTGATCTTTCCAGTTAGATTCAGATCCCTGCTATGTATGATCCCGGTATATCGAATGTCAAAAAAAATGACTTACTAGTAAAATCAAAACTACCAAGGGTGTGAAGTGCTAATGTGATTTCTGCATCCCTCTCCTCGGCCGTCATACCGTCTCTGGATTGCTTCGCTGCAATTGTCATGGATGGTTGGACGGTTGCAGGGCTCCCCAAAGGTTTGAAAGGCCGACCACAAAGAACCATACTGATCATATTGAGAAGTCGGTCCTGTATAGTCGGTAGGAGAGGAGGAAGGTAATGTGATAAGTCGACCAGGGCCTGGGTAAGCTTCACACTGAGGTTGCAGGAAAATATTAAGCCGAGTAGATCGTGCATATATTTAGTCAAAGCCTGACCCACCGCCGTGGCCAGCATACTAATACACTCGAATATCGGCGCTTCCTGTTCTGCCCTCTGTGAGCGATTTCGCCCCTTCATAGTGAGACCCTCTTTTATGCTGGCAAGTATTCCATCAAGGTATGGGCCCATGCTGCTTCCAACTGCTAACGCCACCTCACCAATTGCTTTATAAGCAGAGCCACGTTCGTCTGAATCTTTCTTCTTGAGCTGTGACTGAAGATGCATCATAAATTTGTGCAAGTAGTTGTTGACAAATTCCGTTGGGTTGTACTTTGCTAGACATGGAATCATCTTGATAGTAAGTTTCCGAATACCTGCGTCACGATTATCTTTCAATCTTAAAACTGTATCACAAGTCTCCCGGTAGCTGTCCTGCATAAACATCCCTGCGGAATCTAATAACTGTAGATAGATCAAGAGACTCCCATGTATGCAGTCTGCTGAAGCGGACCGTAGTCCTATTTTTGCCTCCTCTAGAATTTTTGCATACCACATATCCCGATTTGTTGTGTCGCGATGTTTCATGATTGCCAGACACACACCCAAGGCCTCCGCGGCTGTCTCCCTAATCAAAACCTTCTGGTCCCGTAATGCCACCCATATCAGGTCCAATATCTGACTGATGAAGCCATAGATCAGTGTTGGCGAGCTTCTCGCCAACTCTCTCAGGAGTAATGCAGAAGCAAAGCGTCTATTCTCCTGCCGATCGATTTGTAGCCACTCAAGAGCCTGCTTGACCTCGCTTTCCACCAACTCAGAAGTCAAGGTTCCCCCTGGCGCTGCAAGTTGCCCTAGGGTTTTAGCAGCAAGAACCATACAATGGTTGTCGTTCCCCCTCATTATACTTCGTAAGTAATTCGCGTATCGTGTAGTTTTTTGGGTGCTATCGTCGTGGTCGACATCTATGAGCACACCGAGGGCTAGAATCCCCCCAATCTTATCGGTGGTATCGCTGCTGTGGATGAACTCCGACACTCGACGATTTACCTCTGAGTGATATCTCGACAGCTGTTCGCTGGAGTACTCTGGATGGATCATCAGCACCCAAACGAATTTAAGGCAACCGCGACGGAACTGGCAAACCTCGGGAAACAACTTCCAGGTGTATCTTCAACTCATTAGTTGCCTTCTGTCTTACTTCTTCATATCTAAATTGCCACCCAGAGCTCGTCAGCAACTTCAGTCTCAAAATTTGCCTCGCGAGTGGGATATGTTATCGAGCGCGTACTTGCTCCGTATGTCTGTAAAGATTCTCCCTAGCGTGTCCAAGTGAGGGGAAGCCATGATGGCCTCGAGAAAGGCGGTTTCAAGAAATTAGATATACAACCCCACAGGTGTGAAATAGTCGTATGTTTAGAAGAGCTCGTTGTGATACCAGTTGAGCAGAGCTTCTGCTGTTGAAGTTCGGGGATGTGCAAAAGCAGGCTAGTGGCTCGAGACGTGAGGTTCACGTCTTGGCATGTGACACCACTGGCGGAACCGATACGAAGCTTATCACGAGACGGCCGGGTTCGAGTAAATACGGCGTGGCTCTTGAAATTCGCAACACAGTAGTTGGAGAGTTTTAGCTGCGCCAGTTGAACAGAAAGTCGGACAGTTTGGACAAAAAGTCTAGCGGTTTTAGGCAAAGACAAGAATTCAGCCATCAAGGACTTTCTGTCAAAGAGCTCGACTTTCTGTTCAACTCGCGCAGCTAAAACTCTTGTAAATATTTCAGACTGCATGCAAATGGATTTAGGTGCTCAAAGTCGGGATCTCAAGCTGCTGCGCGGCTTTCGGCCCTTATTTCTTATAATCCGGGGCGGCTGCGCTACTCTCTGTATCTCAATTCGCAGACTCCTTTGACCTTCTAGATAGTCTTCAGTGCCTGAGGCTTTAAGAGTCCCTTACTCTTACAGCCGACTAAGTAACTGCTACGAGCTGGCTACTGCCAAGAATGACTAAGAAAATGCTGTGCGAACTTATCTGAGGCTTATGTGGAACATCTTGTTACAAGGCGTGTGCACTTAAGAACCAATGTTCGATCTACATACATACATGTATCCAAGGGCTAATGAGGCAAAGCTTACCTAGAAAACACCAAAAACAGGAAGAAACAACAGGGCCAATACGGAGAGAATGAGTGTTTACGTGTACGGCGTGGTATGGTATGGCTCGGGCGGCCAGTCATGTATGTAGATGACTTTGGCGACATCAATCACGTATTATCACTCGATCCATGCAATAGTACGAACACCCAATAATATGTAACTACATGTACATGCCTCATATACGCGTGTATTTCCGAGGTCTCGCGCGACACGGGTACGCCGGTCACTTATAATACATGATCACTCTTGGTTTTTATGTAAACGTGTAAAGAAAACAAGGGAAGGCAATCTAAATAGTCAAAACAGATAGTTTCTATATATGCCAGATATGTACTATCTAAGGACAAGGGAGAACTTTTTTTAGAAAGGAGGCGCAAATAACACGAAAAATAGACACCACCCGCCAATTTAAATATTACAAAAACCAGAAAGTAAACCTACTCCGTCCCAATTTCAACAATCACAAGTGATTAGAGATCTTGGTATGTAAATAACTTTGTGTGCAGCACGTTCATGGCACGTATGGCATCTGCCTGTTTGATAACACATGAGATGTTGATTTCGCTCGCACCTAAAAAAAGTCTGCGTGTTAGCGTCTACGAGTAGGGAGAAGGTGTAATGGAGATACCTTACCTTGTGAGATCATCTCAATATTCACATTACTCTCAGCCAAAGTGCTGAACATCCTCCCAGCAATACCAACCATCTGCTTCATGTGTTTCCCTACCAAGGAGAGAATAGTCAAATCGCGAATGACATCGACTGTTCCATAGTGTTTTAACTCCTCAATTGCTTCTTTCAAATCGTTCTCCCTAACCTCCGAATGTAGTGCCATAGACACATGTACCTCACTTGTGGAGATAAGGTCAACCGCTAACCGCCATTTGTCGAGTGTAGAAAAAATCTCCGCAAGGAAACCATGTGCAAGGGATTTTCGATTTGAATGGACATTGAGAACTACGATATTATTCTTGGTAGTGACTGCAGTTGGGCGTTTGTGTCGCTGAACAAGAAGTGGATCATGTGCTTTAAGGCGCATGTGCCTTGGGGGCTCGGTGGGTGTATCCTCGCCTTTGCGATGGATAGTATCAGGAAAGATGATAGTGCCTTCACCTGCGGGATTTTCGACATTTTTGATACGGATTGGAATCCGCGCGCGGATTACTTGCTCCATGGTGAATGGGTGTATAACCTAGACCACTTCATTAATTTTGTCCGTTTGCCTAGACATTTTAGACGGTGATTTACCTCTGAGCCGTAATATGTTAACTCCGCAGCCTCTTCAGGGGTAATCACTGGTATCAGGCGTGCTGTTGGAACCTTCCTAGGGTCCGCAGTGAAAATCCCATCAACTTCCTTCCACACCTGAAGTTCTTCGGCATCGAGCCCAACCGCCAGAAGTGCGCTGCAGAGATCTGTGTACCCTCTGCCGACCGAGGTCAAGAGACTGCCGGGAACAGTACCAAAGTAGCCTGTAACTACTGGCACTCTATCCTCACATAGCTGTATCCTTTCTGCTAATTTCTTGGGAAGGTAGTCGTAGAATTCTTGGTCGAGGCCTTTTTTGACTGTATAACTGCTAGGAATAATGCTATCTAAATTGATATATTCCGCATCGACTCCTCTATCTCGGAGAAGAGCCGTCATGAGCAAGCATGCCAATTTTTCTCCGGCACCGATGATAATGTCCTTTGTCTTTGGGCTAATTTCGTCGATGATCTGGAGGCGATAGTTGTTTAATACCTTGCGCGTCACTAATTCTACACAGTAAAAGGCCTTATTACGAACCTGGGCGGCACTGAGGAAGTTGATCAGCTTTCCACATTCTGTCTCTATATCGCTCTTGAGCTGGTCAAGTATTTCTTTGGATTTTATAAGCTCTGCACCAGCGTCAACATGGCTTTCCCGGATCGCTTCGACAATATCAAGGTATAGTCTTGAGCCGGGTTTTAAAGCTTCCTCTGCAGCTCGGAGAAGTCTAGGTACCGTGAGATTAAATATCAGCAATGAATCTAGACATCAAATAATTTGGATGACTCACCGATTTGTGGTTCCTTCCGCCTTTGTATCTGTGCTTCTCGCCGAACACACAACTGCGATTTTATTCTCACCGAGATGTGCCCTGTATTTAGTACTAATAATTAGAAAAAGTACTTTATAACTGCGATTGTAGCCATGATTGAGGGAAGAGCTCTTACCGCACGATATCTTCGGCAATTTTCTCAGCGAACTTGCCCACGCTGGTACCGCCAAATTTTTGGATGACCCATCCGCCTGAAGCGTCGTTTTTTTTCATCTGAGCGTGTCCGTTGGTTGTTGGAGAAGGCGGAAGAGTTTCAAGGGCCATTATGGAGTCTTCTTTCTTCGTTGATATGCACTGTGTTTTAGTCTCTTTGTTTTTAAATTTTGTAAGGTGGGATGAGATCAAAAAAATCTCAAGGGAAATGAGCGGGGGTATTTAGCGAGGTTGCGACAGGGGCGATGTTGCAACTGCCCCAAGACGTTTGTGGACTGGGCCCGGTTTGCATAGTACCAAAATTACATGCACCTACTCTAGAATACTTTACAGACGAGTACTATATATATAGGAATCATATATAGGGTAATATATGCCACTTTTCTGTTAAAAATTCACGGTTACCAATTATCAAAGTGGGACATAAAATGGTATAATATGAGCTACAGCAATATGATATCTATTTACGAGACTTGATGTTTCACTACATTTAGCTACGTGTAGTCAACTACAAGGCCACAGATCCCGAAGAGTTGATATTGAACGTTATTGTTTGGTATTTAGTAATAACCTCTCGAGCTCTTCCGACTTTGAAAGAAATTGATAACCGCAATTCAAGAACATTCCTGCCAGGAGGAAATAGGACAATACTTTGATTGGAGGACTTGAAAATATTTTAGTATAGACCTTATATAGCTTTGCGTTGGCTATACAGAGGGCCTGAGTATATACAGGATTAGGCCTTCGGCCGCGGCCAGGTTTAAACTATAAGGCCAATCATCAGCCAGTATCCGTTTGCGAATCTTTTTCTCGTCTGGTCACTTTATATTATGCATAGTATATATACCATAGGTAAATTTATTAGCCTTGGTGATGATGGCCTAGATCTGTTATGAGCCTAGATAACTTGCGATAGAATCATTGCCCCTTTATGTTACTCCTGGGCCTATATTTCCTCCATGAAGGCGTTTGGACAAGTTTTAAAGTTAAGGTACATATGTATTTCAAACAATCCCGCAGCGCTATATTAACGCCAAAAATCAAACCCCACTAATTCACAGGTCCCAGAGTACTATATATACATGATATGTGTATAGATACGTGTACCTAGAGTGCTTACACAGTAGGGTGCCTAGTATATACTATGTGCATACATATTTAATTGAGAGCTATCTGTGTATCTACAAAAACGTACCAACTCAACTATTTTGTACAGGAGGCAATAGCGGTCCGCTTTAAAAGCGTATGTACTATTTACATATCATTTCAAAATTTCCATAAGAATGGCCTCATCGGAACGAAAGATGGCGTGCTTGCAAGGCAATATCATCTTGCTACTATTACCGCGATAGGGTTACAATTAAAGTTTCAAGAGACACACTATCAGAGTGATTGGGTGAGAGCTTTGTGATACCTGGGAGTCGATTTAGTGGGGAAAGCCAGGTCCTAAACAGATAAGAGTTCTATGACATGCATGCCGGCATGCAAGAAGATCGCCTTCTCATCTGTGGTGGAACATGTTTCAGTAGTTGAATCGGTCATTAGGTGAGGAAAGCTACAGCCTAGTCTCGTGCCCGTTCCCTCGAATGGAACCCCGGGCCCCTCGTATAACTCGATATATGATCATATATAGCCGAATTCGAGGTATCAATAATAATTATAACGGAAAAGGTCTATAAACACAGTTTTCGGTGGACGTGCTGTAAAGCAACACATGGTGCAAAATCACACAGTTTCCTATGATCCAAAACGGCACAGGCCGGTGAGCGAGTTGTTTAATACAACTGATTGAACGTAGTTGATTGAATAAAATATTGATACAGAATAGGCCCGGAGTGTTTTGCGCGAAGCTTCTTAACTATAAAGGTGTCGGGGTTCTTTACAGCTAGCGAGTACGCCTACTTCTTTGAGCGGCCGTAGATCTGGGGTACATGTGAACCTGTCACTGTCGATAGCTGGACGGCATTCTTGAAATCCTCAATTAAGCCAAATAATTACCCATGGAAAAGAGGACGCTCTGAAAATCTTTATTTGATCCCAACAGTTCGAATTCACGGAGGTCAGATAGTACTTCAAGCTTAATTAGGAGTAGTCCAGACAGGTGAATACATGCATGTACCTACTACTAGGGGTTCCACCTCGCGACCGCGAGTTGAACATCAAGTCCCCCCTCTACAATTACGTGGGGAGCTTCAACGGGGCCTTCGGTCCCCTCCAGATTTTGGTGGGTGGGAGGAGCAAGCTGGGTAAGCGCAAAAGGTTTCGCAAATGGAGCTTTTACAGTACATATTAGAAGTTCACAGTAAGGAGCGATGTAAAGAGAAGTGTATCGTTTTTATCATAGCGAACTGTGTCATTTTACATCATGTTTTATTGTAGAGTACGTCTATAGCTACTTGACCGAAAACTGTGTCATTTTAGACCTTTTCCGTAATATTTATTATATCGTACCATTTTTCACCTCAAGCCATATTTACTAACCGTCAATTCTGACAATTGGGGCTTCGCCACTCTCCAAAGCGGCATCCACAAGTGCCACTTTGCGGCTTGCGCATCCCATATCCCTACCCGTCAATTTCGAAGTGTCAATTGTCAAAAATGACACGCTCTAATCACCACATACATGATGTAGTTACATAACCTACATGTATGTACGTATACCTACACCACAACTCATATTGCCTGGAAACAAGGTGCATACATGTCTAATAAGTATATAGATATACCGATATGCAATGTGTTATTTAAAGGTTTTGATTGGCCAGGTTTGAGGGGTTTTCTTTTTCTCTATCAAATATGTTTGTCAGTAAGTAGATATTCTATCAAATATGCTGGAGTTAGTAGATGTTCTATCAAATATGTTTGAGTCAGCCAGTAGATATTGGTTCCAACATACCTTGAGTCAACCAAATAGTATATCAGATATGTGCACAGGGCATCTTGGGGTTTCAGTGATCTTAAGCGTTGGTAAACTGATATTGTTTAAGCCATAACAGTTCCTACTCCAGCCAAAGGCCGGAAAATGCTTGTATATACTAAATAGAGGAGTAGCTAGGTGCATAAATGTAGGCACTCTACATACAATTGTATATGTACATACAGACCGTATCGTCCGGTGTAGCGGCATAGCTTTTAGGATGCCGAATAGAGCGTATTTGCCAACCGTCAATTTCAAGAATTTACAAATTGTGGGGCTCCGAAATGGCAACCGGGGCTGTTAATTTTGAATTTCGGTGGGGCTGCATGCTGTGAGATATACCAGGAGGATCACAAGTACCCAGTTTTGTTACTACCGAAGCTAGTATCATGGGTATGAATTTTCAGTTCCAACAGCGTACTTCACAGGTAGCATGATAGGTTGTCTGGTTTTCGGGGTTTATTCTGTCATACCGTTAACCAGATCGATTTTGGCCACTGCGGGGAACTGTCAATTTTGCCTCCCGAAACTGTCAAGTTTGAAGTGTCAATAGTTGAAATTGACGGTTGGCAAATACGCTCTAGTGATACGGGATTTTGTGATCGGATAAAACATCGGGGACCAAAATCCGGGCTCTTGTAATCGAATATGTATAAAGTAGCTATCAAAGAGTTATCTTTCTTTCTGCGCGCGTAACAAGGTGTTTCAAAGCAATGTTACATTTTAGAAGGCTTTTAACGCTTATTAGAGGTTTTCATGCATTTCTAAAAAAAAAAAAAAAACCACTCAACGCGTGGCGGACAGCACGCGTTCCCAAAGGAGGAGACGTAAAGCAGAAAACGCGACTCCCATCTCCTTCATATTACACCAAGGGGTCTAACCATCCACCCAACTTGCTTTCAACAATTTTCTTTCCTGCGCTCAACTTGCTCTATTTTGTTTTTTCGCAAATCTTTTTTACCTTAATTCGCGACTCGCGCCTCCGAAAAGACTACCCACAACTACCAGAATCCCAGTTTACTCGTGCACAATGCCTGCCGCAACGAAGAAGAGACGAATGCTCACATATGACCAGAATGGTCGTCTTAGAAAAGATAAAGATACACCTGAGGCTTCAAACGCTAAAAAACCTAAGATTGAAGAGGGGGCGAAAACGGTTGGCGAGACTAGGGAAGCTCGACTGGCGAAGGCGTCGCAGAGTGTTAAAAAGAGCAGCTTCGAGGGCGACCTAGAGAGATTAACACAGGAGATCCATGAATTGAAGGGAGGTGAGTTGTACCTTCTCCTGGAATTTTCGATGGTATTAGTCCGGACCTAGGTTAATATTTGCGAACAGGTAATGCTGAAAGGGACCAAAAGTGGGCAAGGCCGGATTTAGAGCCTGGATGGGACCCTGCTACGGAGAATCTCATCTTTCAACAGATTGACGTTGAAGAAGGGACTTTGAATGGAAAGACCAACCTACGGTTATTCGGTGTTACGGAAGTACTGTTTCTGGATTCGTTGAAGGCTCGAAGAGTAATTGTTAACTTATCAATAGGATGGGCACTCCGTACTTCTTCACGTCACTGATTTCCTTCAATACCTCTATGTCGCAGCCCCCGTAAACTTTACCCACGATCTTCTACCGGACTACAAAAGAGCGCTAGAAATGAAGCTTTCCAATGGCCACGATAATATCATTCACACAGTTCAACTTGTCATGCGCCAGAACCTTTACCACTACACTGGTGGAAAAAACTCACCATACATAAAAATTAGTGTAACGGACCCTAAATACGCCAGTCGGGTGAGAGGCTTAATTGAGCGTGGAGATGCAAATTACAAGAAGATGTGGCCCTCTGGAGATGGCGGTATTATGACTTTCGATAATATCCAGTATGTCATGCGATTCATGGTCGATACGAATATCTCTGGTATGAGTTGGGTGGAAGTGCCAGCGGGGGACTATCACATGCTTCCGAAAGGGGAGTTGACCTCGACTTGCCAAATTGAAGCGAAATGCAGTTTCCGGGATTTGATTGCTCACTCAGTTGAGGGAGAATATTCAAAAATGGCACCTTTAAGAGTGTTGTCATTCGATATTGAGTGTGCCGGTAGGAAAGGTGTCTTTCCGGAAGCAGACAAGGACCCCGTTATTCAGATTGCGAATGTTGTTACACGGTATGGTGAAGATAAGCCGTTTGTTCGGAAC